TCTCTCGCACTCGGTCACCTCTATTTGCGTGAAGTTTGGTGGGACCGATTCCATAGACCCACCCAGAAACTGGATCGGACCGGCAGTCCGATTCCCTGATGGATCTATGGAACTAACGGGCGGTTCTCGATTCCAATTTTTCGAAACCGGTCCTTAATGGGCGATTCCCGGTTCCGTGGTGGGAACCGTCCACCCAGACCATGCTCACCCCTATTGGACACTGCTTCAATAGGAAAGTTGTCGACAAAAAAAAAATATAGGAAAGTTGACTCGTTAAGTGCTCAAAAAAGGGAGCGCTTATGTCGTTGCAGAGAAGACTTCTTTGTGGGTTTGTGATGTTGCACTTAATTGCAACAAGAGCTTCGTTAATTGCTAGCCAACAAATCTTGTGATAAGGTTGTGCAATTCCTTCATAAGATTAAGATATTATTTTTGTGAGAAATTATGGGGCTAAGCACTGCGCGAGTTATTGAGTGTAATTGAGATTTAGGAAACACTAAAACTGTTTGAGTCACTCAAATATATATGGTTATAATCTCCGTTGTATCGCTTGAAATAATAATATTGTTTCCCTCTCAAGTAATATAATATAACACCTTTAAGCTTGGAATTGTGGAACGGGACAAGTAGGGTGGGGAAATCCATAGACCTGCTAGGATTGGGAATGGGGTGCCTAAAATTATGCCCTGCGCGGGCCACGGGATGGGGATTTAATATTGGATGTTCATAAATAAAGTTTTTTTTATCCCTAGAGAAGTTAAATAAAGAATATTTGAGATATTAATTTAAATTGTACATATTAAAAAATCTATGTTATTACATATTATAATGCACTCGGGAGAATTTTTCCTATTTTCTCTTCTTCTTTTTTATAAACACAAATGCGATGCACGAGTCTTTTCCTTATAAATTTTATTAGTTTTCCGCAAAAGTATAAGTTTAAGATAAGATAATTTCAAATCTCAATCCGCAGTCAAAATATTTAGTTATACTCTAATTTTTCGTACGTGGTAAAATCGACAGTGTCTATTATTGTTTTCTTTTCTTTTCTTTTCTTTTCTTTTCTCTTTTTCTTTCTTTCTTTTCCTTTTTTTTCTTCTAAGCCCAGGGAGGGTCACCGGCCGAACCTCGCCGGTCACAAAAGAGAGTCGGTCAACCCTCGTCGACCACAAGCGACGGCCGGTGACCCTCGCCGGACTTCATAGAAAAAAAAAGGAAAGGAAGAAAGAAAAAGAAAACATAAAGAATTATAAAAAATTTGAAAAAAAATTAAATTGATAAAAATTGTCCACGTCAACGCCGACCATCCCATATGGCACTGTCAGCTTCCAAGTCAGTGATTTCCGCCCAAAATTGAACATAATGACTAAATTGGCAAATCGTCAAAAGGTCTAGAACTAAAGTGGCCAAATTGAAAGATATATATTTAATTTGGTATAAATGCAATAGGTTTATGATTTTTTTTTTGTAATTTTCCCCTGCAATTTCCATATGTTAGTAGATTCTTTTCTCTATCTGAAATTTAATAGCAAAAGAATTTTCGCTTCAAGTTCTTCTTATCTACAAATGGTAAAAGTGAACATGTCGCATTTCGATAGGTTTTCTTTAACCTAGGAAAGGATGTCCATATGCCATGGATCTTTGATGTCTTCCGCTTTATGTACTCTAAGTAGGGGTGAGCATCGGTCTAGGGTCAATCCTAGACCAACCTTGGATCGACCCAACCTGGTTGGTCTTGGTCCGGTTCCCACAGGGTCTAGGTTAGTCCTTGATCCCGGGACCCTTGGATCCTGCACTGTGCGAGTGGTGTCGTTGGTTTTGGTTAGTCTTGGTCCGGTTCCCGCGGGGTCTGGGTTAGTCCTTGATCCTAGGACCCTTGGACCCTGCACTATGCGAGTAGTGTCATTTGTTCTGGGAGTTTAGGGTTGGTCCAACCCGGACCAGCCATATATATATATATTATATGTTTTTGTCTACTCTAAACCCTAGCGCCTCCTCCTCTGTTCTCTTCTTTCTTATGCAATTCAGTTTGCCGTGTAAATTAGAAAGTAGAAAGAAACCCAGCCCTAATTCAACCAAAAAAAAAATAGAAACCCTTTTTGCTCGCCTCGCTTTATTCGCTCGCTCACCCGCCTCGACCTCTCGCCTCGCACACTGCTCACCTGGCTCGCAGCCCGCCTCTGTTCGCTTGCCTCACCGCTCGCCTATCTTTGCTTGCCTTGCCGCTCACCTCTGTTCACTTGCCACTCGCCTTGCTCACCTCACGAGCGTAGCTCAGCTGGACAAACATAATTTTTTAAATATTAATTATGTGTGTTGTTTGATTTGTTTTCAGGTTTTCGGAAGTTGAAGCAATCATTTAAGAATAAATAAGATATGAAGTTGTATAATCGTGGTTTATATTGCGTATTTTGAACTTCTTATGGGTTTAATTGTATTTCACGTGTTCGTTTTCATGGTATGTTGCTTTTAGCAAGTGTGAAATTTATGTTGTTACCTTATCTTATATCTATGTTTAATATGTACCGGTGTTCATTATTTGGTTGCTCAATGTTGCATTGTTGATGGATATGTAATTTAAAATAGCATATTTATCCTTTCAAGGAATACAAAAAATGAAGCAAAAAAATAATCGATTGGTCTCAAGTTGACCCTGGAACCGGACCGGACCCATAGGGTTGGTCCGATCCTCGGTTCCAGGCTCAATAGGGTCAGCCCTCGGTCCCAAAAATTGTGGACCAACACTGTGCGGGTTGGTCCTTAGGTTAGGTGCTGGACCAGCCCAACCTAGACCATGCTCACCCCTAACTGTGAGAAATATTGCTAAAAGTTATTGTTTCTCATCATTTTTTGTGCAAATAAGCTCCGGTCAATATAGATTTGTTGAAATGTTAACCATACAAAGCCGGAAAAACATGTCAGATTAATTCTCGTCATAGTCACGTAATAGCTCTTTCATTTTGATTTATGACAGATTTGGCTAATCAAGCTAGAAAATGCAGAAGACAAAAGCTCTATATTCGGAAGCATAGTTGCCTAGTTTTCTTCATCCATAGAATTTTCCAAAAAAAAAAAAGTAAAAGACTCGCGCTATTTCCAACCCTTAAATAACTTTAGATACGCTTTACAATTTAAATGTTCCAGAATAGCTCTCGCGTGGACCTCATTAATGGTAAGATTGACGGAAAAAAGGAAAAATCACAACTTTAACGAGAATCAATCATTCTCGTGATTAGTCTTCACCTTTCCTTAACTGCTGTTTGTTCTTCTTCCGTGTCAAATAAGAAAAGTTTACGGGTTGATTTTTATAGGAGAATCTTTTAAACAAATTAGAAGGATTAGTATGGTTTGATTTGAATTGAATAGTTTACATGAATAATCCACGTGTAACCTTTTTTTTTTGGTCAACCGTTCAAATGTACCGGATTGAAAGCCCAATAAGCAAATTTCGTTAAGTTGAATTAATGAAATAACAACATCGAACATTTTCACATAATCCAGGTACTAATTTGAGCATATACCAAAATTTTATGGATCACATTGAACAAATTAAAAGTAAAGAGCGACATTGCACATGCGGCCAAAGTTAAGAGACTATTTGCGTCATTTTCTCCGTTTTTTAATAAATACCAACTCTCACCATTTCGATCCGCGATTCCAATCGACCAGTCCTCCTAAGGTTGTTCTCGTCGACTCGATAAGTCACAGCGTGTCACAGCCGATTCAAGGTGCGGAAATAGCGCGAGCCGAATGAAAATATAAACTCGCTTCAGTACAGACTTTGGTGGTAACTCTAGCGATGAAACATTTGCTCCTCTCTATTTGCCGAATTCGAAACGACACCAAAAAACGCAAACGTCGCGGGGTTGCATAATAAGCTTTCCATTCCAGCCATCTCGCCCGGCCAAAAACCGTACCGAAACCAAAAACTAACTCGAGTCAATTGCTTAATAATCACGCCATAATCCCTCGTCTACTAAATTCTTCGACTCCACATCATGACGGGGGGGACTCGATTCAAAATCGAAACGGCTCCAGAATGATTAGATCCCTCGCCTTCCCTTTTCCATTTTCCTTTGAATTCCGGGTTAGCCCGGAATTTCAGTCAGAAGCCAAACATGTGAGATCGCAAGCGACCGTCTTTGTCCGAAACGCCGAAAGGTAGGTGGAGGAGGAGGAGGAGGAGCGGCCCAGCTCCGGTCCAGCTCAGCTCGATGCTGTCAGACGTGGACAGTTGGCGCCTTTCCCCATGCTGTCCCGCGACCAATAATTGCGGCCACGTAGGCGTGGCGCCAGCAAAGGGCCCACCCCTCCTCTTCCTATTTGCGGGATCTATTCCCGTGCGGTGTTCCTCCTTCGCGCACGCGAAAGAACCATGAACCATGCGATAAAAAAAAGAAAAAAAAGAGGGCGAGACACGACCGTTGGATGCCGCAGGGAGGGAGATGCCGAAAGTCAAAAGCTGACACCGAGTTTTCCGCAGTCACCCCACGCCCTCTGAGAATTCAACTTTTGCGGCCACGTTCGTCTTCTTCTTGAGATCCCCGGTTCGTTGTTTGCCCCAGGAGGAAGGAAGCAGAGAAAAGGAAGCGCTTGGAGCCGTTTCGATCCCATCTGGGGTTTTTCAAGAAACGTGCCTTGTGAAGGGAGAGATGTAGGCTCGCGACTGATGGAGATTGAGCCAAGATAGTGAACTAACATTAACAGCACCTTTTAAGGCTTATATACTTGTCGCGAAATGGTTCGGAATTTAGTCGCTGGGTTCTGGTTTTTCGATGCATGTTTCGATCGGATCCGTCCAGAACATGATGCGCCGGAAAGAGTAGCTTCACCAACAGATGGTGGAGATGAAGCCATCCTGTCATTGTGCGTGCTAATCTATCTGTGTCTCGGTCATGACCAGATATGACCTGTAAGACTCGTAACGGTGCCAAAAATGGGGGCACTTGATTTAGGATATGAACAAATATTACATGAGGGGAGGGGGAGGATCGTCTATGAAAGTGGAAGAGGAAACACGCACGTATTTTTGCTACCTTGCCAATGAGCGGACTTGGATGTTACACCAGTGCCCAAGAAAACCATCTGTGATCCGAAAACCAGAAAGAACAATTTCGACAAAAAGGCACTACTACGGTCGCCATCTGTACAATCCCTTTCTCTCGCTCTCTCTCGGGGGAGTCAGACGCAAATATTTCAATCATTCCATAACCGTGTCGAAGGAAGTAGCGACAAAACCAAAGTAGACATCTCAGCTTTATCAACAGAATGAACCATCCTCCACCATTGCGGATAGGAGGAGCTCGAGGCTTGCAAAGAAGAGTTTTCCAATCTCTATGTATCGATGTGTCGGAAGGCTTTTCATCTAACCGGGTCAATAAGCAATTAGGAATCCATATTGTCAGCTCTACGCCTGCGTTATCTCGAGCTTATGGCTCTCCAGATTAGCTTGGCTCTCCACATCAGCTGAGCTCTCCACATCAGCTGAGCCAGGAACTTCTTTTGTCAACTCAATATCCATGCTGGCTGTGCGGCTCTTTCTGTTTCTTCGATCCTGAGATGAAAAAGAAAAGTGACATCATGCTCCTAGGCCACACTTCAGATAACTTCTGAAGGATAGGCAATGTAAATGCAGTTAACAAGTAGGTGACTTCCAAAAAAAACTACACACCTCGCGAAATGGATACTCGTCGGCTTCGAGCATTCGCACAACCTGAGTCATTTTTGGTCTCTTATCTCCTTCAGGATCAACACATCTGAGTGCAACCAACAGGGCACGCTTCAAAGCACGTGTTGCTGGTTTAACTTCAAGGGCCGGGTCCACAACTTCTTCTGCTCTCCTGGTTCCTACCATCACCTTCAGCCACTCGACGAGATTTACCTGCCACGAGCATTAGCGCATTTGAAGGGCCTATGAGTAAGCTCTCGCAATGAGCGCTCTATTACATTAACTTGACAATCACAGGAAACTATAGTATTGGCAAACCGTAATGAAGTCTATCGGACTTATAAAGCATCAGATTTCAGCATCTATACTTGCAGTTTACCAGAGAAGGGAGAGATCTTCGGTAGAGATACGACAAGTGAATTTTTGTCGAAGATTCGGTACCTCATTAGCGGGTCGACCATAGTCCACCGGGTCCCTTCCAGTGATGGCTTCAAGCAAGAGGACACCGAAGCTGTAAACGTCGCTCTTCTCATTCAACATTCCTGTGTTGGCATACTCTGGAGCCACATATCTGTAATTCAATGAAAGGTACAAGGTCAAAAGACCAATTCCTTGGCTGTACTCTCATACGGGCAAGCTCCACAAGGCAGACAAGACAAGATCAAGACATACCCAAATGTTCCCATCACTCGGGTCGTAATGTGACTTTCTCCTGATCCCAACAGCTTAGCCAATCCAAAGTCAGACACCTTGGCATTGAATTCATCATCCATCAAAATGTTGCTCGACTTGATGTCCCGGTGAACAACCTTGGGTTCTATTGCTTCGTGCAAATACGCAAGCCTGAAAGGCAGTGCAATTTCTTTCAGTGTTCCACTAAATATTAGGCATAATTAAGCCCACAGAAAAGAGTTAAAGCATCTGTTATTGTTGAAAACTGGAGCAACTTAATGGAGGACCAATGATCCTAACAACTGACGAATCAACTTTGTCCTCATTGCGGAGGTCGATACAAAAAGGCGTTGCAAACCATGAAACAAACTGGTGGAAGAGGGATGATTTTGCATCCTATACTTACGCCATTGCAGTTCCGAGGATAACCTTCATGCGGGCCTCCCAAGTGAGGACACCACATTCACGCATAGCTCCATGCAGCCATTGTTCCAAGTTTCCGTTGTTCACATACTCATAAACAAGCATCCTGAAGTATAGGCACATCAAATGACATTTTTATCAGATAAGTACTAGAAGCACGAGCAATGAGATAAAGGTAATCCCAATAATATAATGCACCGATACAGCAGATCAAGTATTTAGAATAAGAGGTAAGGACTAAAGAACAGTCTCCATCATGCAGTACAATGAAAAAAAAAGGGAAATAGCGCCATCAGCGAATAAGCAAATAAGTCTTGCCTGTGAACTCCTTCAATACAATATCCCAATAGTCGTACAAGATTTTTATGTCGAACATGACCAATTGCTTCCACTTCGACCCTGAATTCTTTCTCAGCTTGTCCTCTGTATATCCAGGTCATTAGAAAGTTGATGACATTTCTTCGAATTAAAACTTGGGAAATTGCAGGTCATCTAATTATAAGTATACTTACAAATTATTGAGAAGCTTTTTGACAGCTACCTCAGTTCCATTAATTAGTCTCCCCTTATAAACAACTCCATAACCACCCTCGCCAAGCACGTTCTGTGGTGAAAAACGATTAGTCGCAAGCTCTAGATCCCTGAGAGTAAACCAGTGACCCCATCCAAGGTGCGAAATTTCTGGTAAGCCAATTAGAGGAGAGGCAGTAACAAGTCCAGCGTAAGGCAATGATGGATTTTTTCGAACATTCCCAGAGCTTCCGTCTTCTCCTGATTGCGAACTAAATCCCCTCTCGGGGTTGTAAATAGAGCTGCACTGACTCAGGTTATCCGGATCACTTGATTTGCTTGCAGCCAAGTGGACGAGCATCTTCTCCGAGTTCTTCTCGATCGATTTGTCATTAACTGCAAGGGACACACTGTCTGGGTGACTAGGGAAATTCTGGCCGCCCACTCTGTCGACTCTGATATCCTTCGACACGTTCGGTATCTGGGAATGGGAAAACACGTCCGTCCTTTTTGATTTTCTCCGCAATGTGACCCAGATACACAAGGCGCAGAGAATCAAAACTATGAATGCGCCTACACCGATGCCAATCAAAACCCATAACTTCACACCCAGAAAAGTTTCCGACAATTTCGAGTTCAAAGAACCCCCAGATGACATCCCTGATGCTCCAATGCTAGATTTTCTACAAACTGCTCGGTTCCTTGTTTTTTTTTTTTGTTATCTCTGCCACAGAATTGAAAAAATTTGCTGCATTAGGTGATTAGGCTTCAACATCATATGGTTCAACAAGTTCCCTAGCTCTCATTTGCAATAAAGAAGTCAAATTCATACTCAACCAACACAGGTGTAAAAGGCAAAATGAAACGGATAAGGACAGAACCTGATAAGAAAGAACCGTTTTCAGGCATTTAACACCGAAAGAAGAAGCGTGCAATAACGAAACATCTTATATTCATGATGGAAAAGCAAAGGGCGTTGCAAAAGTCGGTTAAAAAGGGGACCGAATGCAGAACCCAAAATAAAAGAGAGAGAGAGAGAAGAAGAAGAAACATATGGCAAGTCTAAATCATTGAGAGAAGAAGGAATAAATATGACAAGGCATCGCTTATGATCCAAGTAAGACACCATAAATAAATAAAAAATAAAAAAACTGGGCAAAACCATTTGAGAAAGTGAAGCGATTCAAGGGGAGGCAGAAAAAAAAAAAAAGCAAATACCTTGGATGTGATCTGAGCTAACCCCTCGAAGGGCCAAAAAAAAAAAGTCTTCTTTTTCAATAACCAAAACGGAGATTCAATGAGGCACAGATACGATACGTCTTGTGTGGAGACCTGAAATCACAGACCCACTTTAGCAATGTCGCAGCAGGAGGAGTAGCTTGGAAGCAGCAGGATGGAGCCGCCTCGAGTGGGCCAAAAAGAAAGAGAGCATTCACAAGAACGGGAAAAGGGTGAGCGGCAACGGGAGGCCCAGACAAAAATCTAATCTTGAAGGCGGAATCATGAGACGGGGAGCGAGTGCAGAGTTGGGGAGATGGGGGATTCTTGTGGGGAAGAAAGAGAGAAAAGCATGAGGTGGGTGAAATGGGGTTTGGTGTGTGCAATGTCTGATAGGGAGGAGGAGGGCCTCCTCCTATCAGAGAGCTGGAAAGGACTGAAAGCTTGGTTTTGCAATGGAGGAAACGAGAGAGAAAGAGAGAGAGAGAGAGAGAGTAAAGGGAAAGCAAGAAGAAAGAAAAGGGAAGAGGTGGAACAGGGCAGGAATTTATTGCTGGTGTGATGGCTATAAAGGTAAAGAAAAAACTGGGACAGAGAGAGAGAGAGAGAGAGAGAGAGGAGAAGAAGATAGACGAGAATGCGATGGAGATGTGCGTGTGTAAGAGAGAGACTTTCTCGAGAGAGAGAGTGAGAGAGAGAGAGAGTCAACCCTACCGGAGGGAAAGGGGAACTAGTCGAAACTCTGGCACGAGCTAGTGGTTTTTCTGTTCTTCGTTTGCTTATTGGGTCGAAACCAGTTGCCTCCTTCTTCTTTTCTTTTCTTTTCTTTTCTTTTCATGTTGAGTTGTTGTGAAATTGAATATTTTAATTGAAGGGGAAAAAAAAAAGAAATTGACCCTTTGTCTTCCAAATTATCGAGTTCTTTACCATAGAAATCTCACGATGAATGTCAACCATTTGATACCTCACACGGCTCGCAATTTAAAGGTATGTGATTGACGGTCCATTATCGCGACCCCCCACCTAGACATCAGCAGTGCGGAATCGGGAAGTCTCTCCACATGATATGCCATGACTAGGTAACACAACACGTCTTTCAGATTCGTTTGCTATGTGAGATAAACTCATAATCTCGAGAAAGAGAAACAACTCTTTTCACGTGCATGTACTCTTTGTTAGTAAATCGGTAATGTAGTCTCGTTTGCTATGCATGGGTGGGGCTTAGAATCGTCGCTTCGGCTTCCATTCTGATCTCGACGTCCGGGATCAGGCACACCTCCGAAAGCCGAAATACTGCCCATTTCCGCTCGTTCTACACACTAAAAATGATATTAGTCATCATGTATTATGTATTTGATGATCGAATGTCCATTGTTCCGGTGATCGTCACATAATAGAAGGGCGAAAAATAAGATAAAATGCAATTGCTAAATTGCTCGTAACGTACGTGTTTGTTTCGACTTTTCATTACAAAAATAGTATCCGTATACTTTAGAAGATTATGACAAGTATAGTAAAAAATAGAAAGTCAAGCAACTATAGACACGCGAGATCTTTTTTCCCTAATAATTTCTATATGATTCAATAAATGGACTTTCTTATTTTAAAAACCAATTAATGACCCAACTCATTTATTCAATGACATATAGATTTTCACGCGTAACCTCTCTGATTCTGTACGACCTGTTCCTAGTTTATAACTTAAAAGAAATAATCATTTTGCGCATTTGTTCGAGTGGGAAGCTTTTCAAAAGGATCAAGAGCTTTTTCAAGGTGTTTTTCAGTTTTTCTTGTAAAAAAGACAATTTGGCAAAAAAAAAAAAGGAGTTTAAAATTTGACAAAAGATAGCTGTGTTGTGTAACTTGCAAGCTTTCCATCACTATTTGCGTTGGAATGCGTGTTTGCTTCCATTAAAGCTTTTTTCCAACATGACGTCTTGGGGTGGAAAACAGTACATACTTAGCTTGCCGATTAAGTACTCGGCATTGATTTAATTATTGGATTTATAAAAATCCCAATTTTCCATGCATTGTTGCATGGAGCGATATCCCCATATGATCCGCATTCTTTAATTTCTTGATCCATTTTATCCTGAATGTAATTATAGAAAAAATCCACATTTGATTTGGTTCGTGACGTGTTTGGCCTTTGCGTTTATATTTTATTTTTAGCGCCCAAAAGAGAGAGAGAGAGATCTCTAGACACCGCTCGAGGAAAAATCAAGTGATTCATTGTGATATTTTCGCGCTCTTTTTTTTTTAATGCTTGCGGGTACATTCCCAATATGTGAAATACCTCATTAACATTATGGTTCGGGGAAGACCCAAATTGCAGATTGAGTGATGAACCAAACGTACAAATCACTTGATGTTGGCTCGTTAACTTCTCATAGTCAAGATAAGACTATAATTACAGTTCAGTTGGCGAATCGAACCGATGTCATGCATCTAATCTATAAGTACGATACATCACCTCCTTTACAATCGAGCCAATTTCCACGTGGTTAATCCCCGCACGGTTTTATGAAATGTTGTTTTTGCTCGAAAAGTATATTCAAGTAAACTAAACATGCATCTAGAAAAGAGAGTGATACTTATCAGGAATTAACGGTAACCCCACTGTCGCACTCAACACAAGTTTCTTTGTTTTTTTATTTCTATTTTTTAATTTTTATATGTTCCTTTTCTCGCATGAAATTCAACATGATGGTCGATGGATTCTCTTCATAAGAAGACTTGACCAAGTCTCCAAAAAAAAAATAATGTTCCACATTGCATCAATTCTGATAGTGATGGCCAACATAATTTACAAATAAGCCCCAACGGTTGTTTAGGGATAATCATGTCAGAGACAATTTGACTAAACCTAACCTTCCTAAGCTTTAATTAAAAGCTAAACCCAACTTTTTAATATAAATTTAAACTCAGAAAAGACGTGCCTTTCTTGGTTATCATTATTACTATTTCCTTTCTTTTAATCTTTTCAAAAAAAATAAAGTGGAAAGGAGAGAATGGAAAAGCCACCGATTAAGGAGAGTCAAGGAGTCTTTGGCTTTTCTCCGAAGCATAACTTTTGCATCACAACAAAGAAATTCTTTTCAATTTTTCCCGATATTCATTATATTTATAATATCTCTTCTTTTTTTGGTAAGTTTTATTTTATTATTGGATTTGCCAGATGGTGTGCCACTGGAAAGCTGCCAGTCTGTTGCCTGACATAATAAAGCAAGCAGCAGCTGATCTGGCACCACTTGTATGGTCCCATTTGGTAGGATTAGGCAAAGGTGTAATCTAATTGAGACGTTGTAAATTTTCACAAGTAGTGATAAAACGAACAATAAATAGAGTTATTATTTCTCTTGTGGACTAAGTAAGCAAATTTCACATAATTTGTAAATCCTAAAAGAGCCTACTTTTCACATGAATTATGAAGTTAGGAAATGATTGTGATGATTATTAATTAGCAAATAAGCATTCACTCTCAATTGTTAACCCCTTAATAATTATCTAAAAGATTTGAGAGGTATGAATTTTTAAGTTGGTTGTTCTCAAGGAAATGTCCATGAATTTTCACTTGTTGAATATGCTTAATGAGAGAATGTTCGATTTTTAAAATATTGTTTTTACAGCATATCAAGAGAGAAAGTCCTTGTATTGAATTTATGGCATTTTTTATTTGATAACTTAAAAAATCTCGTGATCTTTCTTATTCACAAATAGCCCCATTCTACGAGCACATCTCCGACCGATCCGGATGGTAAAAATGGATTGGCTTCAAAATAGTAGTCCGTCCTAAAATGAACCAAGACTCGAGAGAGCAGGTTTTGAAAGAAAAGAACTTGTTAACGAGTCTTCTCGAGACACTTATTTAATAACCCAACAGAGAAAGTTTGGCGTTTCCAATAAGCTAATTCTTGTATAATTACAGTAAAATCATTGCTGATGTTTGAAAATTGCGTGTTTAAGTGGCATTGTGAGCTGTGCTTTCAACAGCAATTACCAATGCCGGTGCGCGAGCTTCTATGAACATCTTCCCGAACAGATGACTGATGATATATGTGCACTTTATTCACGTGAGCAGCACGTGGAAATGCACCTTTCTTCCAAATTACAATTTCAATTAATTAAAAAAAGTATAATCTTTGTTCATGTGGACTCGAGAGGCCTTTGGGAATGAGATTTGTTTGGTCAATACAAAAATCGCCTAGAAAGAGAGACCTTGAAAAGGCGTCATTGGAAGTTTAATTCGTACTTCATTGTGGAAAGAGAGTTTGGAGAAGGGACAATAATCGAGATTATTACTTCTGTTTATTTATATTTCTTTCATAAAGTTTGTCTCGGCCTGAGATAAAGTGAACAACGTTATTTACGCAACAATCATGCATGTCCAAAGCCAAAGGGACCCGTCAGTTCTTTGCTGAGGAAGTTTTGGTCTTACATGGACTTTCGATTGTGAGTTATAAGGAAGGAAATCTCTTTATTTTCTTTTCCGGGATAATTGGTAATTGGACGTTCCTAAAGAATGATACATGATTTTGTCAAAATGCGTACAAGATCGGTATATTTGAAGTTATAATATGTCTAGTCATAGATGGCCGCATCTATCGGTCACATAGGTTAATCATAGTATTCACGGTACTCTTTCCCGAATGTTTTTTTTTATAGTGGATGAAGATGTCCTATCGCCTTATGAAATGACTTTTGCGTCTAACTTAGTTTTATACCTTTTTCTTTTAATGTTTT